AATACACTGGCTTTAAGTACCATATATTTATATTAAATCATATAATATAAATAATTAAATCTACAGAATATCTAATATATCCTTTTTGAACTTCTCCCATTTTTTTATTAGGAATATTATATCACTATAACTATCACCAGGCAAAATCTATATTACTTCTTTGTCCTTTCACGAACATAGGCAACCGCACATGATTTCAATTATTAAAACAAGAAAATAAGACAAATAAAATAGCATAAAGAGTATTAAGCTCGAGCATAGCTCAGTTATTATAATGTACTTAATTAGCTTTATGAACACATTGAAATATAATACGATTGCGAAACTGACATAAATATCCATATCCTCTGTATGAGATTATTCATAGTGGTCGAACGCACGCTCTGCTGAACGAAATAAAAGGGGCGAAAAATAGAGGGCTAGTAGGAATAGGAATACTTTTTAAATTTTATTATAGAATTAGTAATAGTTATATATTAAAAACATTAAAATAATTAAATATTCTCAATATAGAGTTACTAATTATCAACAATTATTATTCTTCTGAAACATAGTTATTAATCACTACCCTTTTTCAAATCAATGAGTCTAACAAATATATTATTGACATATTAATATATAATAAACCAATATTTCATTTTCATATAAATATATATTTCTCCAATATTTTTAATAAATTGCATTGTATAAATTTAAACGAGTTAAAATTTAAGCTTTTTGCCTTTAACTCTTCCTCTACTTGAGTATTTTCTGCAAGAATGACGCTGCCAGTAACCCCCCAGTATTTGTTACACAAAAATATTTTCAAATTTTCCAATTATAAGCAAAAATTAAGCCATATGCTCCTGAAAAACGGTAACACATAACAATAAAGTAGAATAAAAAAAAAGTCTGATAAATTTGAATATTCAAGCAAAGCACACAGGTCCTTTTGATTAGATGTCGTCTATGGACGACGCTCATAGCGAAATAGTTAAGTATCATTTACAAATTGTATTGAAATTTTAGACTATTTTATGACATGACCATGATATAATATTGAACTGTTTTAGTTTGCATTTCGAATCATTCGAATCAAGACCATATTAAGCTGATTCGAATCTTGTATCAAGCCGAGGAAATTAACTGTGATACAATATGTTGAACTCAACAATTTTTCAAAATCATAAATTTTGATTACGTTTAGATTCAATTGTCCATATATAGAGTTGATTTGAGTTGATTCGAATTAATTTTTTTCTGATTTGAATAATTCGAATTAGGAAATTTTGAGTCGGCACACCATGGCTAAGGAACCAAATATTATCGTTTTATTTTTGTAATAATAGAAGTATCAACTGAATAATTAAGAATTTCTAATTGAAATACCAAATGTTATATATTATTATATATAGTATAATCTGATATTATATTATAGAGCAGTTATTACACGTTTGCATAATATTTACATTTCACTTCTTAAGAAATAAATGGTATATGTATATACAATAAATTCCATACAGTCATTGCTTATTGTTTAAATCTTTTGCAGAAATATTTATAAAACACTTCTGAGGAAGTAGTCATGATATTGGTTAAGAATTTATAACAGATCGGATTTAAAAACATCCTAAGCTATTTTGTTTTCCTATAATATTATTACTAAAATTAAATACCCTGAATTGTTTGAAAGCCAGTGTAAAAATAATATTTTACTTGTGAGAGTTTCCTTCTTCTTCCAACCCTTTATCTAATAACGTAGTCCGGCAGAAATGAAAATAAAAGAAATAATAAAACATTCGCAAAACCAAAAGCGTGCGGCTGCGGGTCCATCATAAATCACATTACCATGCAAGAGGAAAAACAGCTTCCAGCACTGGGAAATTCTTTAATGTGAATTTAGGTGCCGCTAATTGGCCTGCTATTTCGCAGTATGGAAAATTTACTTGGGAAAGGGGCGTCTCGGAATTTTCACCACTACGGAAAAGGTGCCAAGCGAGGGGAAAGGAAAACTCGTGCGTTTGATTAGGATTAATTTAAGGAGACTTTTCGCGCCGGGCATAGTGATCCATCATCGTTACATTGCTCGTGGTCTGAGGTTTCCGAAGTTTTAGAATGTCTTAGACGTAACGTTCAAGAAAATATTAACGAACCAGTTGTATGGGTAGTTATGCACGTGTTTGTTTGTATTATACTGATGTAGACATTTGTAATTTAATTATCAAAAGGTTTACTTAAGTCACTCATGCGCGAGATCCAAGTTTTGTCGAAGTGGTTGGGGATGGTTTCGTGTATGAGTTGCGAACAAGTCGAAAGAAATGTTTCTCAGATATTAAATAACAATTTAACTATTTAACTAAAAATTATCATTTAAATTATTAAAGATAAAAACAAAAATTTAAATTAAACTATACATTATTTACTTGACAAGATTGAATAAATATTATTTATGCATAAGTTGCTTATGATCTAATTTTAATTATCTATTTTTTTTCCAAAACTGTAACAGTCTTATTAACAAATTGTTGAGAGGTACAAAAATAAATAATATAAAAAAGACAGTCATAATTGAATAAAAAACGACACCGAGTAAAAATAAATAATTAATAGGATAATAATAGATTGTTTTACTTTAATAACATATATTTTTGGATAATACATCCGACATTATTTGATTGAAATTAAGTATTAAAAATATCAAATTGTAATAATTCATAATCTTTATTTGTGTTACGCGTTAAAATACGATTTCTTGATTCAGGTCTTTATTATTTTGATTGCACTTTTAAAACTTACTAGATAAATATATTATTATATAAGAATATATAATTTGCTCATTGGAAAATGCTAAAATGTTATTATGAAATTCAAAATAGAATCAAATATTTCTTGAAACAAAATTATTATATTCAAAAAACAATAAAACAAAAGACTTCTGGATTAATGGAGTGAATTCTAATTATTAATATCTAAAATATATAAATATAATATTTAAACTAAAATATCGTTTTCTATACTATTTTAACAAATATTTTCTACAATACCTTATAAATATAACTGTAAATTTACTGATATTTGGAAGAAATTTACCATATTGTTTTCTATACTATTTTTAACAAATATTTTTCACAATACCTTATAATATAACTGTAAATTTACTGATATTTGAAAAAATTTACCATATAAAACATTACCTTAAATTTTATCCATTTTTGAGATATTGTTTACTGTACACATCTATAAAAATCTACATCTTTCAAGAAATTCGTTTGGTTTGACCTTTTCTTCTAAAATATATTAAATTCAAAAGAAATCCAAATTACTTGAAAAAATAAGAAGAGGTCATTTCTTATATTTTAGACTCAAAAATTAACATTTGATGTAAATCAATAAAAAAAACTATTGCTTGAATGAACCTTGAACGAATTATTAATATTAAATCTGAACTAAATTAACTTAAGCATATCAGAAAATATCATGAATATCATAAATCTATCTAACAATTAAAAATTTGTTTTGTTATTTTCTAATATAGATAAAATTAGATGCGGTCTCTGACGTAATTAAATTATTCTCAAATTTAAATGGAAATTACGATTCAAATTATACTAAAGGATTGAAAATTTTTAAAGCCAATTTTATATGTTATTTATAAAAGACACTTTATCGTTTTCTAAATATAAATATGAAAATATTTCTCTACTGCCTTTCAAAAACTAACAATCTTATATAGCTTTTCTAATATCATATACATACAACGTTGCACTGAAATTTCAAATAAATTTGAAAAAAATAACTATCATTATTAAGACTTATTCCTACTTGACTTTTAATTTGTGTAAGAAAATGTCATTGACAAACTCCATATTCAAAATTTACTAATTTCATAGCTACCACTGATCTCAAGACAGGATGAGGCAATTCATTCACATCAACATGAAGTAACTTTATTGATTGTACATCTAT